AAAACAGGCCTGCAGTCCACACACTGTCTGGAGCATGACTTCTTGCTGCTTATGACTGTTGTCTATGGTCTGACCCAGTTAAATCCAATACAATGTTTGCATTTCTATGCCTTACTGAGCCTTTGGCATTACCTGTAGGTTAAACAGATATCCTAAATTTTTTTAAAAATGACATTTAATCCCTCAACATCACCCAGGGTTGCAAACATGAGTTCCACATACTAAGTGAAAAAAATAATTCAGACATAGCTCTTCCAAAGAACGTCAGTTCCCTGGCGACTGGAAGCATGCTTAGTAACACCAAAGACGTGTCTGGCTTGTACTGATACACTAGAACAAACAAGAGCACAGAGAAGCTCCAAAATAAGATGTCAGTGAAGTCATCCTCTTAGAAGGCATGATCTTCCAGCGGTATCAAGGAGCGTTACCTGAGAAAGATCAATTTCCAAATATCTAATGGATGTGAATGTTTCCAGTACCAAAACTACAAATGTTGCTATACCTTCTTTTAAAAAAAGCACAAAGTAATCTGACCATTATTTTTTAAAACTCTTCAGGTATCAGTTATCTCCCAAGGCTCAGAAGAGCCTTACTGCATTGCAAGCAAAACTCTCTTCATGAATTATAACCCACTTGTGTTTTCTGGGTTGATTTTATAGCCCTTTGCTTTCACCTGGGCTTGTCCCAAACTCAGAGAGACCTTGAGAGTTCACGTATGATAAAAGGCACAGGCAGGAGAAGGGCCATGTGTGTGGCCCGAGGGCAGGCACATGGCTGAGAGGACGTGAGAGAGGGCAGGGGCCCCCTTCCCGCCCCTTCCCACCACAGCAGCGTCTGCGAATGCACCCTGCATGCTCCCTTCTTACAGCAAACGTGACATGCCGCTTAAGGAAACTAGGTCCTGGGCCAGGGGCATGGAAAGGCCATTAGACCAGCAGGAACACTCACTCGCTTCGTTTTCCAGATCTTATCACATCAGCTCAATTTTAACATGAGGGGTTCCCCACTTCCTCCTGTTGCTCTAAGAGAGCAGAAAGCATACCCCTAAATTTCGAGGCAGCAGTCAACTTTATGTGCCCTGTATGAACAAATAGGAGCCATATATCAATAGCAGGTGTTTAAGGCCAAATTTATGTGGGAAATCATACCTGAAGGGCCAATGTCTATACAGAGGCAGAGAGACATATCATACCAAAAGCAAATGTGTTGACCTGCATTATGACAATCTTACACCACCACCAAAGGGCTTTAAGCTCTGGGTTCTTATTTCCCAGTAGCAGTGATGGGTCTGCACAGAAACATCATCATGCCCTTCTCCAAAATCATGCATTTGAGAGACAACTAGCACACACCAATGGACAAAGTCTACGCCTGATGCTTCAGAGACCATTCATGTCTCTGTCACTGTCATCTCAGCTGTGTGGGAGCCCCACTGTATTTGATTAACTACAGCCTTGATAAGTAATGACTAAACAACTTCTATTTTTTTTTAAATGAAATTCACCCTAGAGAATATATATTGTTGAAGCTGAAGTTGTCTGAAGACAAAGCTGACTCAAAAGAGAGGGTTTTGAAGGGAAGGAAAGGAGCTCCATGGATTCAGTTGGTAATATTCCCAGGAGACATCTCCAAGGACAACAGTAAGTTAAATCCACTTAAATTCTTAAGTGAGCTTGGGACGCAGTCTGTCTGTGTAAACACACTCGGTCATGCAGGCCTTACACACTGACTTTACCACATATGCACCAGGGTTCCTTCCACCATAATGATGACAGAAACACCAATAACTTTAAAATAACTTAAATAACCAACATTTTTGATTTCTTAAAAATCAGTATTTTCAAATCCTTTCAAACTCAAAATATGCCTCTTTAACATTCATGAAGTTATTTGGACTTAAATTTCTTCAATTTTCATTTCAGGTTGCCAACCCAGATTGGGGAGGAAGAGATAAAGACTCTCAGAAAACCCATCGCTTAGTTGGTAAACTATTACAAATAAATTCTCAAACTATGATGACAGATAAATCAAACGCTAAAGAAAGCCAATAGTCCCAAACACCAAACACGCCAAATGTCACATCTAAAGGTGAACTCTTACCATAGGTGCCACTGAGAAAACCTGTAAGAGTCAAAAATCACAAGACATCCTGACTTCAGAGACACTACAATACAAAAGTAAGGCATGTTTTAGAATGGATGAGATACCGTACCATTCCCCCCTGGCCTCCTAACTCAAACTTCAGTGACAGCTACGTGAATCCATTTAAAACGTGTCCTACCCCAGAAGTCAAGAGCCTTCACCCCTAGTTCTGGCTTGTTCATTCAACAGAACAAAACCTTTGTAAACTCTGGGTTTCCCCCTTGACCTAAGACTGTTCACATGAAAAGACTGGAGATAGTGTTCAGAAAGCACTCCCAGCACAGTTTGGGTGCTCAGCAGACACTCCATTAATTTGCTTTTTCTTCCTTTATATGGAAATAGAATGGCTAGATACTCATCTTCCTCCCAACTATCTTCTGGGTACCCTAAAATGCACGTAGAATGCACTAAAATATTCGGACTATGTAGTGAGTGTTATGGGAGATGGCTCTTCAATGGTTCCCACTTCTGAGGGTAAGAGGGAGGCAGGACTGGAAAACAGGCCTGCAGTCCACACACTGTCTGGAGCATGACTTCTTGCTGCTTATGACTGTTGTCTATGGTCTGACCCAGTTAAATCCAATACAATGTTTGCATTTCTATGCCTTACTGAGCCTTTGGCATTACCTGTAGGTTAAACAGATATCCTAAATTTTTTTAAAAATGACATTTAATCCCTCAACATCACCCAGGGTTGCAAACATGAGTTCCACATACTAAGTGAAAAAAATAATTCAGACATAGCTCTTCCAAAGAACGTCAGTTCCCTGGCAACTGGAAGCATGCTTAGTAACACCAAAGACGTGTCTGGCTTGTACTGATACACTAGAACAAACAAGAGCACAGAGAAGCTCCAAAATAAGATGTCAGTGAAGTCATCCTCTTAGAAGGCATGATCTTCCAGCGGTATCAAGGAGCGTTACCTGAGAAAGATCAATTTCCAAATATCTAATGGATGTGAATGTTTCCAGTACCAAAACTACAAATGTTGCTATACCTTCTTTTAAAAAAAGCACAAAGTAATCTGACCATTATTTTTTAAAACTCTTCAGGTATCAGTTATCTCCCAAGGCTCAGAAGAGCCTTACTGCATTGCAAGCAAAACTCTCTTCATGAATTATAACCCACTTGTGTTTTCTGGGTTGATTTTATAGCCCTTTGCTTTCACCTGGGCTTGTCCCAAACTCAGAGAGACCTTGAGAGTTCACGTATGATAAAAGGCACAGGCAGGAGAAGGGCCATGTGTGTGGCCCGAGGGCAGGCACATGGCTGAGAGGACGTGAGAGAGGGCAGGGGCCCCCTTCCCGCCCCTTCCCACCACAGCAGCGTCTGCGAATGCACCCTGCATGCTCCCTTCTTACAGCAAACGTGACATGCCGCTTAAGGAAACTAGGTCCTGGGCCAGGGGCATGGAAAGGCCATTAGACCAGCAGGAACACTCACTCGCTTCGTTTTCCAGATCTTATCACATCAGCTCAATTTTAACATGAGGGGTTCCCCACTTCCTCCTGTTGCTCTAAGAGAGCAGAAAGCATACCCCTAAATTTCGAGGCAGCAGTCAACTTTATGTGCCCTGTATGAACAATAGGAGCCATATATCAATAGCAGGTGTTTAAGGCCAAATTTATGTGGGAAATCATACCTGAAGGGCCAATGTCTATACAGAGGCAGAGAGACATATCATACCAAAAGCAAATGTGTTGACCTGCATTATGACAATCTTACACCACCACCAAAGGGCTTTAAGCTCTGGGTTCTTATTTCCCAGTAGCAGTGATGGGTCTGCACAGAAACATCATCATGCCCTTCTCCAAAATCATGCATTTGAGAGACAACTAGCACACACCAATGGACAAAGTCTACGCCTGATGCTTCAGAGACCATTCATGTCTCTGTCACTGTCATCTCAGCTGTGTGGGAGCCCCACTGTATTTGATTAACTACAGCCTTGATAAGTAATGACTAAACAACTTCTATTTTTTTTTAAATGAAATTCACCCTAGAGAATATATATTGTTGAAGCTGAAGTTGTCTGAAGACAAAGCTGACTCAAAAGAGAGGGTTTTGAAGGGAAGGAAAGGAGCTCCATGGATTCAGTTGGTAATATTCCCAGGAGACATCTCCAAGGACAACAGTAAGTTAAATCCACTTAAATTCTTAAGTGAGCTTGGGACGCAGTCTGTCTGTGTAAACACACTCGGTCATGCAGGCCTTACACACTGACTTTACCACATATGCACCAGGGTTCCTTCCACCATAATGATGACAGAAACACCAATAACTTTAAAATAACTTAAATAACCAACATTTTTGATTTCTTAAAAATCAGTATTTTCAACTCCTTTCAAACTCAAAATATGCCTCTTTAACATTCATGAAGTTATTTGGACTTAAATTTCTTCAATTTTCATTTCAGGTTGCCAACCCAGATTGGGGAGGAAGAGATAAAGACTCTCAGAAAACCCATCGCTTAGTTGGTAAACTCATTAAAATGGTCATAACTACAAAATTACAATGTATACTTAAACTTGGTGAAAATAGGCTCTTGGTCTCGGGCTAAAAATCTGAGAAGAAAAGCAGTAAGAAAACCAAAGTTGTCAACTTTTGAATTCTATGTCCTGTATAAGGGTGTTCAATGCTTTTCAGGGAGCTGGAACAGCGCTAATGTTTGTAACAAGCAGATAATTCTCATAAGAATATCTTCATTTAATTTAGAGAAACTTTTCTTGGCCTTGTGAATGAGAATTCTGTAAGAGGTCATCTGCCGAGGCGTTTGGGGAACCCTCGGGCACTTCTACAGGGCACTTCAAAAACATAATACAAAGCCAGCATTGGGATATTACCTTAAAATTAATTACCTATATTAATTGCAGTCTCTTGTTTGTCTCCTGTCAACACCCATATCTTAATTTCCGCCTTCAACAGAGTCGCTATGGTTTCCGGAACGCCTGCCTGAAGGCGGTCTTCTATGGCAGTGGCTCCAAGTAACAGTAAATTCTAGATCAAAAAATATTTTCCATTAAAAGACTGGTCCATATTTAAGAGCAGCATTCATGACAAAACTCTGACGAAAGACAGGCAGTCAATAAGTTCTGACAGTTATTTTCAGTACATCAAAACCACTGTTTACAGATAGTTGATAATATCTCGATGGGTAGCATTTCAAAACTCTTTGCAATGTCAGACCCACTCCACACACATAGGCGACCCAGTGCTCCCTTCCCTGTGGGTCATGGGCCTGTGAGAACAGACACTATCTGGCAGTAAAGCATATGGGTAATCTTGAGGCAGTTACCGGTATGTGGGCCCTCCCCTCCACCCCACTAATGAGGGAAGTGTCATGTTATTGTCAACACATGGGAAGCACTGACTCTAGATGATACAGTTATCTGGCAATACGTGAAGCATAGAATTTAACAGCCAGAGAAGAAAACATCAAAGTATCTGCAGGTTGAGGAGCCATAAAATGCTGCCCCTGTTAGCCTTCTTCAAAGCCTGGACAGGTCAGTCCATGTTGAGGATGGGTGTGGAGTGCAGACCCACAGACCGCCAGTGCCCAGCCTGCTGTCCCAACAGATTCCAGAGTGCCTGCCCAGAGGGCCTGCTTACCACCTGCCTACCTCCCCTGAGCCTCTCCCGAACAGAGGACCTTAGCTTGGTGACCTGATTACAGGAAAAGCCGACCCCTTCCTGAGCAGCTGCCATGTGCCAGCACTGCATGGGCATACTGCCTTTTAATCACATTGTTCTAATTCTAAAAGTAATTGTGGATATTTCCAGCAAAGCAGGGCAGATGGACACTTTGAATTCAGTTCTAGGCCCACCTTAACCTCCATTAAAATGACAAGCAAGTAAACATAAAACTTAACAAAAACTAAATGTGAAGAAGCAAAGGGGAATTTTAAAAAAAGAAATACAAGGAATGAAGAAAGCAAACAGGCGAGGACTTCAGAGTCATAGAAACTAAAAAATGGAGCGGCCAGTGGTTGCTGACATGAAACAAAAAAAGTTGAAATCCAACCCCCAGATAGGAGGGACTCCAATAACACCTAAGGCCTTGGGATAAACTGGAAAGAAAAACAAAACCCAAAGCAGGCAAGACGGGGTACCAACGGCAAAGCGTAAGTCTTATTAGAATAAACAAGTGTGAAGATTCTTCGTAAGTACAATGTCCAACCAGCCCATGAATTCGGATTGCTCCTGTACCTCGACAGGGTACCCTAACCTCCATAAGCCTAATCTCATGCAGCCCCAGAAAGTCACTGATGTTGGTTTTGACCTAATGCTTCTTAAGATGCCATCAGTGCTTAGCTGAAGGTGCTGAGAGCTTTCAGACAGCCCGTAAGAACTAACTGCTTCTTAAAGCAAAGGAAGAAATGATTAAAAGTTAATGGTTAATTCATATTCTTACAAAAAAGAGAACATCACTATGTAGCAAAAGGTCCCCTGTTTAAAGACTTTATTCTACAGGCAGTGAGGCGCCCCCCATCGGGCATGTGACGACTGTGTCCTGGGCCACTACCTTCTCAATGATCTCGTAACACTCCTCCAGCCGCTGAGTTCTGTCTTTCAATATGGTGCTGGCTTCCTGGTAGGTTTTCAGCCACTCCTCATACTCCCTCTCCGAGAGGTCAGCGTAAGCCACACAGAGCGTCCTCAAGCCTGCAAAACAGTGATGGCACCGGTGAGGGGGGCAGGCAGGACCCTTACCTAGTGAGAGACATCATGCGGCTCCACTTTACACCAGCACAGCCCCCAAAATTAAAGAAACCATCTAACTTTTAGGTCACTCGAACTTTATATATCTAAGAAAGTGAATGTGAGAACAACCCCACTTTTAATATAAACCACCTCTTGTATAAATTTCAGAGGATGTGAATGGATTCCTCAGGGTGGCCAAGTCCAGGAGCTGTGCGTGACCCGTATGTGCATGAACAGCAGGCAGGTATCAGCAAGAAGGAGGCAGGAAGTACGTTTCAAGACAGCAAAAACAGCCCAGGGTGCTATCACGTGAAAGACCCAGGCTTTCACGCAGCCACACTAGGGGTGTGTGTGTGTGTGTGTGTGTGTGGGTGTGGGTGCACCACACACTCAGGTATGTAGCTATAGGTGAGAGAGCAGCAGCCAGCTTTCACGCAGACACACTAGGGTGTGTGTGTGTGTGTATGTGTGTGTGTGTGTGTGTGTGTGTGTGTGCGTGCACCACACACTCAGGTGTGTAGCTATAGGCGAGAGCAGCAGCCAGCACTTAAGCAAGGCTTCAGCTCTCGCCATGTTCTCTTGCAGGAAGACCTGGCCTCAGTGTTCTTGAAGGCTTCTGAAAGAACTCCTTTCCTGTTCTCCCTGAGTTCATAAATTATTATTTCCTTATGTCACGGATAAGCCAGCGCCATAAAGATACAAGAGGGACAGGGAAATAACATGAGCTTTCTGAGAAAGGGAATGATAACCACAAATTGATCTGACGTATTGTGAGGCGGCCAGCCTTTTTCCTCTGCACTTCCGGTTAAGAGTCAGCAGGGCCACATATAGGTAACTAAGTACGGACTTTGCCGGGCATCCTGCTACTGCTGTGGGCACGGAATGCGGAGGGCAGGGCAGGGGTTGCTGGTAGAGAAGTATACTCCTGTGGAGCAAGCCACGCACTGCACATAAATGACGTATCAATTCAGAATATGACGGCTTACCCCAAGCATCCGCCATAAACCCTTGAAAATGAACCTCAATGGTTAAAAATAACATTTGCAAATTTCACTTACCTTCTGTGGCAAAATATTCGAGATGGCATAATGTTTCCTCCATGTATTTTGAATCTTTTGAAAGTCTCTGAAAAATTACATTATCCTATAAAAGAGGGAAACAATGTGACTGGTAAACCCATAAGTAAGCCTTCTAGCCAGCATATGTTTCAGCACAGCCCAAACACAGCTTTGTTTCAGTGGTGTTCATGTCAAGTGCATGAGAACACCCGATGGGCAAATAGAAATATAGTTCTTAGCTGAATTTAGCCATGAGTTTCAGAAAACAAATCGGGTATGGATGTAGCCAAATGAAACCCTGTTGGAGGGGACCACTGTTGTCTCAAGAATAATCAGGGGCCCAGTGGTGCCTATATTTACCCCCAACTGCAAATATTATATACTAAAGTTTTATAATAACTTTATGCAGACATGGAAAGAATAAACTGCATATCAAAATGGCTCAAGTACACTCTTGCTTCGGACACTGCAAGGGCTCCTACCAGGGAGGGCACAACCCAGGTCGGCTGAGAACCACGTGGTATGACTCAGCTCTTCACCCTGCTGATTGACAAGCAGGGCTAGGGGACTGGATGCCACAGAGCATCCATCAAATATGGCATATGCTTCACAGCTTTAGGACACTAAAATGTCTAGTTTGGCTTTATGGGAGGCAGATTTGAAGAGAAAACCTATAAAAATAAAATGCAACATTGTGGCATTTTCATATTTATACTGTTCTATGTTTCACATTCCTCCACCACTCACACAGACCCCTTTGTACTTGCTGTAGTACTTAGGGCATAATGGCAAATAAACAAATAGGAAGTGAAAAAAATACCACCTAAGAACATAATCTCAGTATCCTTGATATAAACATGATTCTTTAATGGGTTCAGCTATAATGCCTTTAGAATTCACATGCATTACTCCGTTTTTAAAAGCTCAGTGGACTCAAACAGGACCACATTTCTTCCCACTATTGGTAAAGAGTAGTAAGATTTTCTTATAAAATGCTTAATAATTTTTCCCTCAAAACGTAAGACGGTAACTTAACAGGATAGGTTTGGAAGCAAGGCTCATAAGCAAGAGATAACACAGTTAGACTGGATCAGTAGGGGTGGGGACAGGACAAAACGCCTGGCCTAGGAAACTAAGCAAAATGGGCAGTAATGACGAGGCCACGGATGGCCATGACCCTCATTCCTGCCACATGGTGCTCTGTGATGACGACACAACAAACCCCAACAATGGAGAAGAATAGCTGCTATAGAACTCAGACAGACAGATGGACGGATGGACGGATGGATGGATAATCAGAGTACTGAAGAGATTATCATAGGTCTATATAAATTACTTTATCTTCCCAAGTCATAACACCATGGTAGTGAAACTGGAATCAGAATTCATACTTCAAGGGTTTTGCATGACACAGAAAGGTGCTGGTTTTCAAACCAACTGTTGGCTAAATGCAAGCTTTTCACGACCATCTTCGCCACGCTAGCTTGGACCACCATCACCGTCCATGGGTTTTCACTACAAGCCAACTTTACGGCCAACCTGAAAGAGCCTTCCAGCCTTGGGCAGATTCCTAGGGACTGATGTGGATGGCAGCCAGGAGAAGCAGCAGATTAACAAAGCAGCCACCGGGAAGCGCAGGCAGGAAAGACACTCGGCCGGTACTTACAGCCCCCTTGCAATAGAGCCGAAGTTGTCCTGAAGGAGTTCGAACAATTACAGACATTCTTTTCCTGTCACTGTAAGAGTAAAAAAAAAGAGGAAGAAAAGAAAAAAGGTTGTCACTGGTCTGTTTTATGGGACCCTGTGATTAAACACCAAAACAAATCAAAACTTGGGCTGGCAGTCCTCCGAGTGGCCAAGCTCCACTTTTCCTACACTTTTCCTCAAAATCAGACTTTAACTGTATAGCTCCTACTCTTTTTATTTATATATAATGGACAAAAACCCATTCCTTTCCCTACCATGGCAACTCACTAGCACAGCTACTTATAGGAGAGGAGATAGAAACCAAGAGGTTGAGCACCTACTATGTCCATCTAGTTTACTTCAGACAATATTCTGTAAAAGTATTTGTTTTTATTTTGTTAACTCAAAAGCAACCTGCCTAGTATGTAGCAAAGTGGAAGTTTCAATATGAATAAAGCTCTTCATTGCGTCTTCTTTTAACCAAAGCAGAAATGAATTACAAGTTGGTAGAACACACTGGAGGCAGCACTTCCCTGGTCCTCTCCCGACGCCGACACGCACACTTCCTTATTCGCCCTCCCCAGGACCTGGCTCACTCCCCTGAGCCTTCAGCGGCTCCTCACCACCCTCAGATTCCTCTCCTTACTGATACCCACCCACCTCTGCATCTCGCCTTGGCTTCCACTAACCCTCCCATCCACCACCAGGCTGCACACACACCAGAAGACTCATTGTTCCCCTTCTCTACACCTCTGTTCCCTGTCTTCATAGACTACATCTCACCCCCTCGAAACACAGCCCGTGCAGGGGGCCCCAGACCCCCATCTCTTTGGCCTTTCAGCAGGTGGTTTCCCATGGGCTGCAAGCTCCTAGGACTGGGGGACAGTACCTCTCCAGCCTGGTGTGAATTCTGCATCCTAACCATAGCACTCCACCTAACCAGCTGCCTAGTAGCCGGGCGCGCTCAGCAAAGCTACTAACCCAGCATTTCACCTTCTGAAAGTGTAAAGCAGGGTTGCCACCAACTACTGCAGGGGAGTGTTGTCAGGATTAACTGGCATCTGGAAAAAGGTGAGTCAACTAAAAAGACATAGCTTTAACCAGAGCTATAACTACGAATCATCTTCCGCTTCCCTCTTATCCTCTCGTAAGTTTTATTAATACAACCTTATGTCTCCATTCATATTCATGTATTTCTATCTGACTTCCTTTTCTCATCCTTGTCCCTCCAGTAACTACTGGTCCCAGTTAACACAGCCACACAACAGCACACAGTTTCCAGGACATCAACAAAAGGTGAGGCACAATGAGTCTGGAGAGGTGTTAATCTGCCCACACACACAGGGACACTGTCCCCTGGTTCCTACATCAACTCCTACTGCCACCGACCGTCTCGCTTTCCCATTGAATACCCAACCCCAAGGACCCCTGACCCACCAAAGATCAAGTTTGCAGCCCCAAAACTAAAGACTAGAACTGGAAAGCATTTCCTACTAGAGGGTAAAACATTGATCTTTTTCGAATAGCTTATGAATCAAAGAGGGCAAAGGAGTCACGAATCATTTAAAAAAGGTTGTTGAAAAGCCGCCTAATCTTAATAACAGGAAAAGATGCCTTTGAGAGCAACAGAAACTTACTCTCTCTGGTTTTGACAGTTCAATGTTAAAAAGAAGAAAAAAATAAGACATTAACATGGTTTATAACAAACTGTGAATGATCTAGGGAAGCAATTCAACAAATATTCTCAGGTCTTAAGTAAACCACACTGGGGAAGAATGAGTTCGAGTAGGTACAGGAGAACTACCCTACTCGGACCAAGCCCCAGTGGGATGCACTGGTCTTATCTGCCTTTGCCGGTCAGGTTCCCAGATCTCCCCTGCGAGCGCTCAGATGGAGCCGTCGGGACTTGGGCAAAACCAACCAGAATAACGTCCTCCTCACATACCCCAAACCGTGCACACATGTCTGTAGCTGCTGATACAAAAGCATCAGCCTCTAGAAATTTAAAGAAAAAGGAGCATATGGAAGCATAACACTTCATTTGGGAAAAAAAATCAGAGAAATGACCTTCTCCACTTTCTGAAACGGAAGTCACAAATTCCAGGGAGAAGAGGGCCTGTGGAGATACACTCCCTATATAATAAGTAAGTACTACATCTAATCATCCCATACAATCATGCAAACACTCTGATGAAGTTGCTAAATATACAGATACGTATTTTATTTCAAGTGCACAAAAGAGAAACATACCTAGAAAATTCCAGGACATTAAGGATTCCGAATGTCTGCTCCTGTCCCATCTGAAACAAGAAAAACAGGCTTGTATCTTAGGTGCTGTTTCCCAAACCTAACACCCCTCTTAGCCCTTCCCGTTTTTCTCTTACCCCATCCTCGAACCCCCTGCAAACGCCTTTTCAACATGGACCTTTTTCCCACAAGTCAGTCTGGTGAGGTCAGAGCTCCCCCTTGTGGTAGAAGCTTCTCATTTTTCTCCAGGTAGCAAGGCCGTCATAATAGCTCGTTGACACAGCCACTTCCAAGACACGTAAAGGACCCAAGCTACACAAGCCCATCTGAAGCTTTGGGGCCAGTAATGCTTCTCAACTCAGGATTTTACATATTTTTTAGAAGTATATTCATACACCATATACCATGATGTCCCCAGGGAAGCCTGGGGCAACACCCTATAATACAATCAATTTTCTACAGCAAAATGTACCCCTATTCACACTGAGATTCATAAAGCCATAAACAGCCTTGTGTCAGTTCTGATTAGATTTTGCTCCCAAAATCTATGCCCCACATTTAGGGAAAAAACTTGGAATTCAAAGCATCTTAGATTATCAATCTGCATCATACTTCAGGGCAATTAATCAAAGGTCCTTTTTCTTCAGGTTCTTCAAAAATGGAACTTCAATACTCTCAATTTTGTTTTCAGAAGATTCCGGATTATGGGTGCATAATTTTCAACATTTTTCATCAAACCTGCTCTCTCTAGCTCCCCAATACATCATAGCAGGAAGAATACAGGCTTTGTAGTTCAACAGATAGGAGTCTGAATCCAGCTTCTGACACTAAGTGTGTGACTTTCCTACAAATGGTAATAGCACCTGTGCCCCAGGTTTGTAATTCCCATGTGCATAACTGACACACAGAACATGGAAAATGGAACATGGAATTTTGTTCCACCTACAACTCCCACCCCTCCTCTTCAACTCCTAAAATACACATAATGACCCACGTAAGCCAGCCTCCACCAGTCTTCAGTCCCTCTTTCTGAAACCACCAGGTCTCTTTCTCCTCAGCCTGTCCCAACTACTTTGTCCGACTCCTGCTCAGAAACATGCTCACTGTCACCCTGCCCTCAGCACTAGGCTGTCTGCTGGACCGACGGCTCCCTGCCCGCTGCTCTACCAACCACCTCCACGGGAAGCCCACGCACTCGGCTTTCAAGATGGTCAGGCCCCTTCATGTAAACAGCAGGGAACCAAGCGAGAATGCATGGTTTCATGCTGCCCAAGTATTCGTGGTTGAATGGGATTTTTTAAGTTATTCATATTTTTCTACCTTAACTAATCGGAAATACTGGTTATTATTTTACTCCCAGAAATAAATGGCCTTCATTGTTAAATAAAATGATGAAGGGGTGCCATTCCACTACAACGGCATCTAACACAGCGATGACCAGCTCAGCGGGCTCTCTAGAGTCCCCGTGTTTATGCAGCACTGTGAGCAAAGCAACCATTCTCTCCTTTCTCTGCCACCTGTGCTGCATCCACACCCTTCCCAAGCACCACCGCTGCAGTGCAGAGCCCTACAGCTGGAAATACTACAGTGAAGGGCACAATAGTCTCAGACTGAAGGCAAAGAAGACTTCATTTATGAAAAGCTCCTATGAAGGGCATCCTAGATTCATTCATTGCTTTGTCCCACTTCTAATAATTGCACACTTCCCTCTGCTAAATTCCCTGTTTATTGAAGTAAGTAAAAACAAATATGAGAGATCTCTGCACTCCATAAGAAAAGAAACTGAAAATTCCAAACAGTGGGCTATTTGTATACGGTATGGTATCTTACCGGTGTGCATGTAAGTAAAAGAAAAATGGGCCACTGCCATGTGAGGAACACAGCAAGTTACTATGTAAATTAGAGTAAATTCCAAATGCATTAAAGAGCTCTAGGGCTTGAAGGATGCCTACAGCTAAAAACTGTAAGAATCCAGGAGATCTCCCCCAATTGAGAAGTGGAGAAAGGCCGAAGAAAAGAGGCAATGCCTGTCTCCAGGCCCTCATCCACTCAGACTGGAGTAAAATGCAGCCCCTCTAACTGGTCAGCATTAACACCAGTGCCCTGCAAGGCGTAACTAGCAGTCTCCCTGTTGCCCATTTCAAGGGGCCCTATTTGATCTTACTCTTGATTTAAAGTTTTCCTATCACCAAATCTCTCCTTCAGACTTCTTGAGAGGGGAAACTCAGAAAAAAACATAAAATAAGTAAACTCCTCAACTTCAGGGAAGGAAAAACTCACAAAGGTTAAAAAACACATATATCTCTTAAGTGCCAACTCCTTTCTCTCCAGTCAGGGAGACTGAGGCCAGCAGCCGGGGGCGTCACTGCACAAGAGCCACCCCACCAGGCACCCGGCAGCAGAGGCGGAGCCGGAGAGCCTGCCCTCACCAAGAGGCCATACGTCATTTTCCCAACTATTGCAGAACGAAGAGCAGGCTTGCTAAGTTCATTGCTACAAATAATTTCACATCAACGTGGGAAAGGCTTGCGGGAAGCATCTTTAAGGGAGAAATTATTGCAATGTAAAAAGAACATGGACAGGCTTTTATGATCACGTAACAGCGTCCATTTTTCAATAGGTCTAGTTTCTCAAAGAAAAACATGTAAATTCAGCTACCATATTTACAGTAGACGTGGCATTTCAAAAATAGGGTCTTCAAAAAAGTAGGTGATGTACAGCAAGAGGCACCCAGGGACATCACTTACAGCTTCTATGATGACCGAGTAGGGCGTTCGGGCCGTGAAGACGAAGCCCAGCTTTCTGGCGCCTTTCACCAAAGCAGCTTCATCTGCCAATAAAGAGCAGGTAGAGACTGACTAATTGAGGTAAGCACAGAATTCTGTTCAGGAAGTGTCACTGTTCAAATGAACAAAATCCACACTGGTTAGAGGCCTAGCCTTGCGTGCAGGGCAGAAAGGGTTCGGGATGCAGACGGCACTCACTCGCTCTCCTTGCCACTGGGGTCCCGAAGGGGACACCTCTGCTAAACAGGAAGACAGGCCGACAGCTCATTCCCTGGGACGGGCGGGGCTGCACACCTCCTGCTCTGGCTGGGATGGTGTTCCCACTAAGGACCACGGGTAATATTCCCATGACTTTCTGACTAAACATCTTCTCTGAGCACGGCAATGTTTCAGTTCTAGTACTGTGGGGTCCCTGGAGCCCCAGGAAGTAGGTAAAGACCACACAGCTTCACCAGCAGCTGGATAATCCACGCAGGGGTGGGGGTGTGTGAATAAAGCCAGCTGGCTGTCCCTTGGCGCTAGGAAACACAAGACGGGCATCCCCTGCCATCAATGTTACCGGAGTCAGGAGGGCCCAGCACCAGCTTCCTAACCGCAACCCATAAACCATGTGAGGCATGAGGCATGCGGCCAGAGGCCAGCAGGGCCTCGGTGGGCCGGGCTGCACCCCATCTCCTACACGCAAGTGCGAACACCCAAGTCTCCCAAGAAGGGGACAGCAGTGTGCATGCAGCCCAGAGCCCTCACCTGGGGACGAGGCCTGGTAGATGATGTCGTCTCCATCCTTCTCAGGGACGACGGTGTGGCACACAGCCAGGAGGGTGAGGAACTCCTGTATGCAGGGAGCTGTGGGCTACAACGGGAGACGGTGTGAATCATCCGCCACAACCGTGCTGACATACACGGAGTAGAGTCACGGCACCCCCTGCTTAAAACCCGCCGCGGCTTCCCGCTGCCTTTAGAGCAAAGGTCAAGTCTACAGTGCGGACCCCAGGCTCCGTGAGCAGGCACCTGCTCACCACCCACCCTACCTCCAGCCACTTGCCCCCGGGGTGCCCAGCCACCAATCTGGTCGGTCACTTCTTCAAACAAAGTTCGCCTTCTCTTCCTATGCTGCCCTCTCCCTGCTTTGCGCCAGTTCTATTCAGTCATCCTCAGGGCTTCAGCTCAACAGTCACTTCCTCTGAGAAGCCTTTGTCCCCGATTTGGAACATCAATCTCCCGGTCAGGTGAGAGAACAGACGCGGCCCGTGCCCCGCCCCACTCATTCCAATACTTCAACTATGCCTGCGGCTCACATGCTTCCGCCCTTGGGTGAGCTCCAGAAGGGCGAGCAGGTTGGCTGCCACCCTCACTTACACGTCCCCAGGCCCAGCAGACACAGGGCGCTCACGTCTGTGTTGGATAAAAGTAGTGAGAACTGACGCCAAACTTGTGCCTCCCAGTCTTTCTATTCAACTATGCTGGCACTTAGGCTACACCAGGCCTGTTCTTAACTTTATAATCTCTTAAAACCTGTAAAGCAGTGCACTGCTGGCCTATTACCTTTAAAAAACAAACAAACAAACAGTATTGTCCTGGATGTATATTTACTAAATTTCTCCCATCTTCCCAGCTACACACACACACACACAAAATCCTTTTAATTTTCATTGGGATTGGACTATATTTATAATGAGTAAAGAAATGACATCTTAAGTACTACCTACCCATCTAAGAAAAGAGTATGTCTTCCCATTTATCAAGGGCTTCCAAAACTTCTGAACATAGGTCCTGGCATATTTCCTATTAATTTTTATTCATTTAGAAAATATCTGCATGCCTCATATATGTGAGATACTATACTGCGCATTTTATATATTGTTTTTTTGTATTATGATTGGGATTTTATATCTATTATATTTTTCAAGAGTTTATGGAGATAGATGTAGGTGAAACAGAATTTTATAAATGAATTTAATACCCAGTTAAATTAAATCCAGGAACTGCCCTCTTACTAGCTCTCTGAGTTAGAGCTGACTCTTGGGTTTTCTACAAACGACAAAGTCCCCCTCTTCCTTTCCAACAGACAAATTTGTTTCATTCTCATGGGCCAGCCCTTTAAGCAGGATGTTCAGAGACTGGGTTGACACCAGGCTTCCCCGTCCTAAGGTTATTGTAATGCCAACGTCTTTAGTGTTTCACTTTTAAAGATGCAGCTGGCTATAAATTTGGGATAGATTTGTATTTTCACATTCAGGAAGCAACTTTGTGTTTGCTATTTATTGTGGAGTTTTCTTTTTCTATTGTGTGTAGCCACAAGTGGATGGTGACTAACACTTTAACAATTTAAAACACTTTTAGTTTCTCTCCTCACCTATTAATGTGATGTAAGAGCAACTGTGTGGAAGCGAATCACAACTGCCCGCCTGGCTACTTCTTACAGACTGCAGGAAAACATAACGCACATTTAGGTGTTGTGCAGTGAAATAAAATAAATTAGAGAATTTGCAAATCCTCCAAGGCCTACGCTGCAAATGTGGTTAAGAAATTTTACCCAAAAGCCCTTTGATTTGAGAATCAGGCTTCAATTCAAGATTGCCTTCGGCCCTGCAAGCCTCTCCTCGTATCTCATTGGCCAAAACTGCATCAGGCGCCCAGCCCTGAGCTCATGCCTGGTCCTGGAGGCGAGTCCCCGGCCACCTAACTGCCCCCCACTGAACGGCCAGCTGCACAGTCAGCCACAGCAGCCTCACGTCATTATGATGGAATATTTTCCTGATTTAAAAGTGATGTTCTCCATCCCTTTTCCCAAAAGTAGTTGCGGAATACACTTATAATAGTACAGCAATTTCTTGAAAAGGCAGGATAAAAAAGTACATACAGTAGGGTCCCAAAATATAAGGTCAGGGTTCACATGTACCTATAGGGTACAGAGAGGAATAAACCAAAACAGGAACAGTATTTATCTTTGGAGCAAGGAACAAAAAGGGATTTGGGGGAAAATTTTTTAAAACCCTTTCTTTAGTCTCTAATTTATCTACAATGAGGCTAGGGAACTGTCTCTCCATCGAAGGCATTACTTGCCAATAGCCAGAGTCCCTGTTTGAGCAAACGCTCCCTCTAGTGGCTAAGATTGGGGGCGGGACAGACCCTGAGGGAGACCAGCAATTCTCGGCATGGCGTCTGCCTTACTGGAGATCTGTCACGGGGAGCTCGGGAAGCTTCCATCTTCCACAAAGGGCGCAGACCACTGCTGCAGGCCCAGGAGTTTCAGAGGAACCTGGGGGTCTGATTCTCAGGTGCATCTACTCAGAAGACCCCACCCCTAGTCCCAGGTCTCCTTCCTAGTAGACTTTGGTGTGGACAATGTTGTAAGGCTGCCAGTTCTGCCAGTGTTAAATGAGATCTCGGATCTGGTCTGCAGCAGTACTGGCTGTGGCTGTAAGAGGTGAGGGATCTTCGACAGCTGCCAAGGAGGCCTCTGGTTTTCGTATGATGTCTTAAATGGGTAAGAAATTGACCTGAGCTTATCGCTTTCTCTCTTCAGTGTAACTTATAATAGTACAGCAATTTCTTGAAAAGGCAGGATAAAAAAGTACATACAGTAGGGTCCCAAAATATAAGGTCAGGGTTCACATGTACCTATAGGGTACAGAGAGGAATAAACCAAAACAGGAACAGTATTTATCTTTGGAGCAAGGAACAAAAAGGGATTTGGGGGAAAATTTTTTAAAACCCTTTCTTTAGTCTCTAATTTATCTACAATGAGGCTAGGGAACTGTCTCTCCATCGAAGGCATTACTTGCCAATAGCCAGAGTCCCTGTTTGAGCAAACGCTCCCTCTAGTGGCTAAGATTGGGGGCGGGACAGACCCTGAGGGAGACCAGCAATTCTCGGCATGGCGTCTGCCTTACTGGAGATCTGTCACGGGGAGCTCGGGAAGCTTCCATCTTCCACAAAGGGCGCAGACCACTGCTGCAGGCCCAGGAGTTTCAGAGGAACCTGGGGGTCTGATTCTCAGGTGCATCTACTCAGAAGACCCCACCCCTAGTCCCAGGTCTCCTTCCTAGTAGACTTTGGTGTGGACAATGTTGTAAGGCTGCCAGTTCTGCCAGTGTTAAATGAGATCTCGGATCTGGTCTGCAGCAGTACTGGCTGTGGCTGTAAGAGGTGAGGGATCTTCGACAGCTGCCAAGGAGGCCTCTGGTTTTCGTATGATGTCTTAAATGGGTAAGAAATTGACCTGAGCTTATCGCTTTCTCTCTTCAGTGTATAACAGTATTCATCAACGACCAGCCAATTCCACAGATAATACAATAAAGCAAACATGTATATAAAAAGTGGTAAATGAAAAAAGATCACCTTCTCCTGCTTCTGAGAACTATCAAGTCCAGCAGATCACCTCTTCTCACAATGAAACAATATGAAACAGAATCTTTGACGTTATAGGAACTAAAACTTAATAGTGAAATATTTTCTGTGAGTTATAAAGAAGAGTTTTACACACACACTCAAATTAAGGTTCCACCTTGAGCAGGAGGCCAAATTTCTTAAAGATGAAAAAAAAAATCTCCAAGATAAAATTAACTACCTTTGGTTCTCTACGTAACCTGACATTCTGTAAAAAAATTAAGGAAAGTACACAAACTTAATTTGCAGTCTATGGATGTCTGTAATATATTTTAGACAAGACTCCATGTTTGAAAATAGACTTTTTTCTATAACTTCCAAGAAGAAAAACCTTTTATAACTTCAAAGAACTGATTGTTTGTTGGAGAAAGTATGGATACATATATGTATATGTATGCATATCTTTTTAGAATTTAAAGTTTTATTGTGGAAAAATACACATATAATATTTATCACTTTAACCATCTATAAGTGCAATTCAGTGGCATTAAATACGTTCACAACACTGTGTACCTATCGCCACTCTCTATACCCAAGACTTTTTCATCTTCCCAACAAACTCTGTACCCACCAAAAAAATGACTCCCCATTCCCCCTCCCCTAGTCCCTAGTCCCTTCAAGTCTGCTCTGTCTCTATGAATTTGCCTATTTTAGGTACCTCAAACAAATAGAACCATACAATGTTTCCCCATCAGTTAACACATTTTAATCTTCACAAAATGATTTATATATCTAGAAATGAGTATTTTCAATTGATCTGATGAATGTAAAAAAAAACTATGTCAAAAATTGCCGTGCATACCAAACTGCAGCTGGGAAGTATCTATGTAATATACATATACAAATCACTCCTTCCTGAAGACTGGAACTGAGAAGTCCCCGGCATAAAGATTCAAGAGGAAGCTGTGTGTTCTTCCTCGGCTAATGTCTGGGACATCATCCCACGAATAGGAAGCAACTGGTTAGCAATGCAAACAAGGGACCACATGAGCTGTTCCTTGAAATTCCACAGGTTGATTCTCTAAGAGGCAAATTCCATCTTCGCTTCCAGCCTACACAAAGCTTAAAACACAGTCCTAAAGGACCAGGAAATCAGAAATGATGACCCAAGAAAAACTAAAGTTCTGGAGCAGATGGAAGTGCTCCCTGGGGAGGAAGGTAAGGGTTTTCTTGGTTCAGATGCTTTAATTTTAGTCAATGGTCCCCAAGACAATTTAAATATGAAGGTGGGATATCCAAAGGCTAAAATCCTAAAACGCTCCTTCCCTCTTCTCAACCATATTTTCACAAAACAGTCAAGTAATCTAACAGGGTCTATATTTAAGTTTAAAAAGATCCACTGGGTATATTTAATCCAAGCCCATATCTTCCCAAGGAAGAATACTGGAGACTACAGCCTTCATTATTTATAGTGCAGCTAGACAGTAAACGTCAAAGGGCTTAATTAACACAGTACCCAAGATGAAGACAACCTCAGAAGGCTTCAAGGATCCAGGAAATTTTTTTAAAATGTTAAACACAGACAAGCAGACTTTCACTAAAGAAATAAACAATTAACTCCCTAACCCATGGCCTCATTATGCATTTAATGAACTGTGAGTATCCAGGTTATCAAAAATCCATAAAAGTGCCCAGGTTTTCATTGATACTTATGATAATCTCCCTAAGTCAGGGCTGGCACTTCGTAAGAGCTGCATCTAACCTGAATCCTGCTGGCCTTCCCACTGGAAAATAAGGAAATTTGCCTCAGGAGGGTAGAAGTTGAGAAGGAAGGAAAAAGTTCTCTAACTTCTACAAGAGTGGGTTTCTTCCTAAAATGCATGCCATTTTAGGGAAATGCCCTTTAAAAGATCCTTTATCTATACTCAGGTCTCCACTCAAGTGTCAAAAGAAGTCAGGCTCAAGAAGAGCATGTGATCAAAGGTCAAAAAACCTTAAAAACCCAACACACACAAATGTGAGTTCAGCTTTGGAAAGAACAATGTTTGTGCATATAAATTAAACTGAACTCGGTCTTTCAGGGTTTCAAAAATTGGGATTCCAGCAGCAGGTGGAGGGGGTCCTGTAAGGATCTCTTACTCCAAATGAGAGTTTTTTACCTGGCCACTGGGTTTCCATGCCAGCCCACATTTAGATCAGTGAAAATACCATTCAGTGTGGGTGCCCACATTTCAACAGCAATGTTAGCCATCACGCCCACTGAAGAGCTCAGACCCCTCTGATCTGCACAGGCATAATCACTTTCTCAGGGAGCAGTGTCATGCCTTCCCCTATAACGCAGAAGTGTACAGAGAATGACTGCACGTGCCTACTTCTCCAGTGAATAGAAACCCCCTGAGCGCTTTTTTATTCACTTCATCCCCTAGTACCTAGAAAAGCACCAGTTTAAGCCCTGAAACTGTTTGCTAAGTGAATGCATAAATAAATGAGTCTCTTACTTGAGCAGGGATCCAGTAGTCTGCTGCTCTCCTTAAGCCTACAGAGAACGCCATGGTGCTCAGTACCCTATGCTCATCTCCCTTCCTTCCTAAGCCTCTATGTTACCCTTCCACCTTCTCCTTCCCACTCTTAAACTTACTCCATCCCAACTTAAACAGACACCTTTAGGCAACCACCTTCGTTATTACCCTCCATCTAAATACTCTTCAAGCACACGAGTCCTCTTTCAGAAAGCAAATCCTGAATGCACTTGTTTCTTTGAAATCCCTGATTCAAGCGCTCCTCCTCCAGAGAAGCTTCTTCTCATGCTACTTTTCTGCTGCAAGAACCTCTAGCCTCGTAGTTGCATCTACCAATAAGATCAAAATCCAAGAAAGGACCACATCCATGTCTGTGGCTGTGACTCAAAGCACGGACCCCAGAAGCATCCTCTGCATGGTCTGGGACCTTATCAGCATCCCTGGGGCTGAAGCAAATGTCTGCACCCCAGCTGTGGACATGGGTACCGTGCACACTCCCAACCGAGAGCTACCGCTGGGAAAGTTTTAATTTACAAATAAGCACTAACTGCAATAGAGAAAAGGAAATTTCCTTGATGAAAATTCAGAGAACATTTTAAATACATCTCTTAACAAAATTTTGGAAAGATAAAGTTTTGATTTTGCTCCTGTTTGTCTAACTTTAAAACTTAAATTTTTTTTTCCTCAGAAAAAAAGTAATCGTATTAGATCTAATTTATACTGACTAAACTGGTTGTAAAACACTTTGATCACTGAATACTTTTTAAAGTTGCTGTTTTTCAGAGTAGCCTTTAAAACGAAAATGAGTTTATGCAATCCTACAGTTAATCCTGATAACATAGTTGAGATACAGTGATGTATAGTTAAGAAATGAACAGATTTAGGTTCTGAGTCTAATTTCTACATTTGTTTTTTGGTTAACTCTTGGCCAAGTCAATCTCTCTACACAATTTCCAATGACCTCTCTGGGGCAACTCAATGGCTCAACAAAATACATGTCGAAGACACAGTAGGGTGCTATAAATGCTACATTACCATATCTTACTTTTGTTTCTTAAATTACCCTAATCAAAGGATCCTGCTGCAATTACTTTTCAAAAAGCATGACCTCTGAGATTCAGAACTGAAAAACTAGTACTACAGAAATCTTAAAAAGCAACAGAAATGTGAAATGTCAGAGAATTCTGTAAGACTCATCTTACCTTAACGTGCTACTTGGTAACTTCACCACATATTTAATCCAGCCTTATATTACTTTACTGTGGTAGTGCTAACCACGAAGCACTCACGTACGATCACTTCCCTGAAGTACTAACACCATGAAAGTGAAACCTACGTTCCAAAACTGCGACTTTGAAGACCCTACATATATGTAAATAAAAGCGCACCACAAGCTATTTGATGTCCTAAAAGCAAGCTGGTGGCCTTACATGGTGGTCCTCGATGTTCCTCAAGAGTCTAGGATCATCGAAGTCACATGAATCACTAGGAGGAGGAGGCATCCGGCTGTAAGAACACAAAATATTTATTTAGTTCAAAAGTTCTTTAAGGTTAATTCAAGCCCAGTACAAATCAGTCTTCAAGAAGAATCACACCTAAAAAGCCTACAGATTTATATTAAACTTTTAAAGATTTGGAATACTATATATTATTTCAAAATGCAAGACAGGAAATCTTCAACTTTAAGTAAAAAAAGTATGTAGATTATTACAAACAATGATATGATTACAAGGAGAAGAAACAGACACCATGACTGTGTCATCTCATTGATCTCTGCATCACTTTTACCACAGAGAATTCCCACGACTGCTGGCTCAAAGCAGGTAAAATAAGAGGAATTATTGTATTCTATCTATTCCATCATTTACGGCCAGAGCTCATATGTGGGAGAGAGAAGGAGGCAAATAATTGTGAGACAGGAAATTTGATACAACGGCTGTGTGTTATCATGTTTAAGAAAATGTGAAGGGTCAAGTGTATTCACTATCTCCATTTCTTCCTGAAATCCTTCCCTCAGGACAAAGACAATGGAAGAAAAGACAACAGCAGCATCGATGTCAATCTGCACTGTGAATGGACATCAGAGTTCAGCACAGCAGAGAAAACAGAAACCAAAAGCCTAGAACAGTAAACAGCTAAAATGCAAGCTGATACCCCAAGCAAAACCTTGGGAAGGCTGAGAAAATGTTGCAAGAGGTACCTGTGAGATAAAGGGAAGAAAGAAAACAGGACAGTGCCGAATCCATCTGAGAAAGAGAATACCTACAAGATCCCTCCCTCATCCCCTGTAACAGGCACCTGAACACTCTGCACCCAGAAAGAAATGGAAGATTCACCCTGCACAGTAGCCGTGGACCCAGGGACACTGGGCACACAATCAGCTAGGGTAGGGCTTCCACCCAAGGCAGGAGTTCTAAGTGAAATGGTTTATACACTGACAGGTATGATCACCAATCCTCTGCCTCTCATAGGGGCTGCAAATAGATATATAGAACTTGGCAGGAAAGTGGTTCTTTTCGTGACAAAAGACTCATCAGCTCCAAGAAAGACCCACAGACACTGACATGGAGGGGTCCTATAATAAAATGTAGGTCCTGGTTGAGTGTCCCACAGAAAGCCAGTCAATAATTAACTACATTTGTCTCCCCTAAGCACATGGCCATAACAATCACCTTTGTTAGTGGACAAATCTTAAAACATAAGCCGACAACATCACTAGTTCTAAAAGAAATGCAAACCAAAGCCACAATGAATCCCAATGTCTACTACATTTTTAAAAAGACATAAATTAACAAGTGTTAAGAAGATGTGAAAAAATTGTGCATGACCCATGGGAATGTGAAGTGGTACAACTGCTAGGAATAACAATTTGGTGGTTCCTCAAAAATTTAGACATAGATTTAACACATAACCCAGCAATCCCACTTTTATTAGATATATGCCCAAAAGAACTGAAAGCAGAGACTTAGAAAGTTATATATCAACCCATATTCATATATCATTGTCAGTTCATAGCAGCATTATTCACAATAGTGAAAAGGTGAAAATAAACCAAATAATTCATCTCCTCTTCAGCAGGTGAATAGATAAAATACAGTATGTACACTCAATGGAATATTATTCAGCCTTTAAAAAGGATGAAATTCTGATGCATGCTACAACATGTATGCTATAACATTGGAGAACAATATGCTCAGAGAAGTGAGGGAGAAGTACTGGACCGAGGACTGGTTATGTTTTTGAAGCCTTGTACAATCATCGGACTTTTAAAATCCCATATTCACATTTAAATTTTGTTCTGGTTCTCTCTTAAAGTCACATATATGCAACTTTATTTACAAAATATTCAGGAAAGAAATTCCAATACAAAATCATTCCAAAGCCTTTTGCACTAAAGTGTCAAGAAGACCTAGAATCTGCTTACCAGAAATCATCTGACGATGGCTCCCTTGTCAGTTCTGGAAAATGGCTGCCAGAGAGAAGGAAATACAGTGGTCACCATACTGTGATCAGAGGACAAGTATTCACACATGGAGCATTCTACAGGACAGATCATGTATTAGGTCGCAAAACAAATCTTAATAAATTTGAGAAAGTTTCCAACCACAACACTGTGAAACTAGAAATCAATTACAAGAAGAAAACTGACAAATTCACAAATACATGGAGATTAAACAACATGCTACTGAACAAGCAATGGAGCAAAAAGAAGTCAAAGGAGAAATTAAAAAACATGTTGAGACAAAAGAAAATGGAAATACAACATACCAAAACTTATGCAGCAAAAGCAGTTCTAAGAGAAAAGTTGGTAGCAATACAGCAATAGCAACCTGTATCAAGAAACATGAAGAATCTCCTACAACCTAACTTCACACCTGAAGGACTTAGAAAAAGAAGAATAAATCAAGGACAAAGTTAGTAGGAGGAAAGAAACAACAAAGATAAGAATGGAAATAAATAAAATAGGGACTAAAAAGACAACAGAAAAGATCAATGAACCAAGAGCTGATTCTTTGAAAAGATAAGCAAAATTGATAAACCTTTACCTCAGTTCACCAAGAAAAGGAGAAAGAAGAGTCAAATAAAATCAGACAAAAAAAACTGATAGCATCAAAATACAAAAGATCATAAGAGACTACTATGAAAAATTATACGCCAACAAAGTGGACAACCTTAAAAAAATGGATAAATTTCTAGAAACGTGCAACCTCCTAAGATTGAATCATAAAGAAATAGAAAATCTGAACAGACCAATTACTAGGTAAGAAGATTGACTCAGTAATCTAAAAACTGCCACTAAACAAACATCCAGAACCAGACAGCCTTCACTGGATGAATTCCACCATCATTCACAGAAGAGTTAATAACAATCTTTCTCAAAGTCTTCCAAAAAATAGAAAAGGAGGGAGTACTTCCAAACTCATTTTGCCAGGCCAGAGTTACACCAATATCAAAGCCTGATAAGGACACTATAAGGAAATTACAGGCCAATATCCCTGATGAGCATAGATGCAGAAATCCTCAACAAAATAGCAAATTAAATTCAATAATATATTAAAAGGATCATACACCATGATCAAGTGAGACTTATTCCAGGGATGCAAGGATGGTCTGACATACTCAAATTAATCAGTGTGATGCACCACATTAAGAAAATGAAAGACAAAGATTATATGATCATCTCAATAGATGCAGAAAAGCATCTAACAAAATTCAACATCCACTTATGATAAAAACCCTCAACAAAGTGGGTAGAGAGGGAACATACTTTAATATAATGAAGGCCATGTATGTCAAATCCACAGCTAACATTATACTCAATGGTGAAAAGCTGAAAGCTTTTCCTCTAAGATCAGGAATAAGACAAAGATGCCCACTCTCATCAGTTTTGTTCTAGTACTATAAGTCCTAACAATCAGACAAGAAGAAGAAATAGAAATAAAAGATATTCAAATCAGAAAGAAGTAAAACTGTCACTGTTTCCAGATGACATGATATTATACATAGTAAACCTTTCTAAGGACTACACCAAGAAAACTATTAGAATAAACAAATTCAGTAAAGTTGTAGGATACAAAATCAATATGCAAAAATGTGTTGCATTTCTATACACCAATAACAAGCTATCAGAAAGAGATATTAAGAAAACAATCCCATTTAAAATTACAACAATAGAATAAATACCTAGGAATAAACTCAACCAAGGATGTGAAAGACCTGCACACTGAAAATTATAAGTCACTGAAGATGACACAAACAAATGGAAAGATATTCTGTGCCTATGGATTGGGAAAACTATGGATTTGGATAGAATGTCTCTACTACCCAAAGCAATCTATAGATTCAATGTAATCCCTATCAAAATTCCAATGGTATGTTTCACAGAAATAGAACAATCTTAATTTGTTGAAACCACAAAAGACTCAAATTGCCAAAACAGCCTTGAGACAGAACAAAGCTAGAGGCATCATGCTCTCTGATTTCAAACTACATTATAAAACTACAGTACTCAAAACAGTATTGGTATTAAAAACAGATACACAGATCAACAGAATGGAATAGAGAGCCCAGAAATAAACCATGCATATATGGTCAATTCATTTACAACCAAAGACCCAAGAATACACAATAGAGAAAGGACAGTCTCTTCAATAAGTGGTGTTGGAAAAACTGGACAACCACATGCAAAAGAATGAAACTGGACCACTCTCACACTACACATAAAAATTAACTCAAAATGGATTGAAGATTTGAACATAAGACCTGAAACCATAAAACTCCTAGAAGAAAACAGATTGACTCAGTAATCTAAAAACTGCCACTAAACAAACATCCAGAACCAGACAGCCTTCACTGGATGAATTCCACCATCATTCACAGAAGAGTTAATAACAATCTTTCTCAAAGTCTTCCAAAAAATAGAAAAGGAGGGAGTACTTCCAAACTCATTTTGCCAGGCCAGAGTTACACCAATATCAAAGCCTGATAAGGACACTATAAGGAAATTACAGGCCAATATCCCTGATGAGCATAGATGCAGAAATCCTCAACAAAATAGCAAATTAAATTCAATAATATATTAAAAGGATCATACACCATGATCAAGTGAGACTTATTCCAGGGATGCAAGGATGGTCTGACATACTCAAATTAATCAGTGTGATGCACCACATTAAGAAAATGAAAGACAAAGATTATATGATCATCTCAATAGATGCAGAAAAGCATCTAACAAAATTCAACATCCACTTATGATAAAAACCCTCAACAAAGTGGGTAGAGAGGGAACATACTTTAATATAATGAAGGCCATGTATGTCAAATCCACAGCTAACATTATACTCAATGGTGAAAAGCTGAAAGCTTTTCCTCTAAGATCAGGAATAAGACAAAGATGCCCACTCTCATCAGTTTTGTTCTAGTACTATAAGTCCTAACAATCAGACAAGAAGAAGAAATAGAAATAAAAGATATTCAAATCAGAAAGAAGTAAAACTGTCACTGTTTCCAGATGACATGATATTATACATAGTAAACCTTTCTAAGGACTACACCAAGAAAACTATTAGAATAAACAAATTCAGTAAAGTTGTAGGATACAAAATCAATATGCAAAAATGTGTTGCATTTCTATACACCAATAACAAGCTATCAGAAAGAGATATTAAGAAAACAATCCCATTTAAAATTACAACAATAGAATAAATACCTAGGAATAAACTCAACCAAGGATGTGAAAGACCTGCACACTGAAAATTATAAGTCACTGAAGATGACACAAACAAATGGAAAGATATTCTGTGCCTATGGATTGGGAAAACTATGGATTTGGATAGAATGTCTCTACTACCCAAAGCAATCTATAGATTCAATGTAATCCCTATCAAAATTCCAATGGTATGTTTCACAGAAATAGAACAATCTTAATTTGTTGAAACCACAAAAGACTCAAATTGCCAAAACAGCCTTGAGACAGAACAAAGCTAGAGGCATCATGCTCTCTGATTTCAAACTACATTATAAAACTACAGTACTCAAAACAGTATTGGTATTAAAAACAGATACACAGATCAACAGAATGGAATAGAGAGCCCAGAAATAAACCATGCATATATGGTCAATTCATTTACAACCAAAGACCCAAGAATACACAATAGAGAAAGGACAGTCTCTTCAATAAGTGGTGTTGGAAAAACTGGACAACCACATGCAAAAGAATGAAACTGGACCACTCTCACACTACACATAAAAATTAACTCAAAATGGATTGAAGATTTGAACATAAGACCTGAAACCATAAAACTCCTAGAAGAAAACATAGGTGGTAAGCTCCTTGACATTGATCTTGGTGATGATATTTTGGATCTGACAGCAAAAATTCTGGATCTAACAAAAGCAAAAATAAATAAGGAGGACTATGTCAAACTAAAAAGCTTCTGCGTGGCAAAGGAAATCATCAACTAAATGAAAATGCAACCTATTTAATGGGAGAAAAATATTTACAAATCATGTATCTAATAAGGGGTTAATATCCAAAACATATAAAGAACTCATACAACTCAATAACAAAAAAACAAATAATATGATTTTAAAATGGTTCAAATCTGAATATTTTTCCAAAGAAGACATACAGATGGCCAACAGGTACATGAAAATGTGTTCAACTTCACTAATCATCAGGGAAATGGAAACCAAAATCACAATGAGGTGTCACCTCACACCTGTTAGAATGGCTTTTATCAAAAAGACAAGAAATCATAATGTTGGTGAGGATGTGAGGAAAAGGGAATCCTCCTGCACTGTTAGTGAAAATGGAAACTGGTACAACCACTATGGAAAACAGTATGGAGGTTCCTCAAAAGAATTAAAAACAGAAGTACTACATGACCCAGTGAATCTACTTCTGGGTATTTATCTGAAGAAAACAAAAACACTAAATCCAAAGTTATATGCACCCCCTTGTTCACTGCAGCATTATTTACAATACTCGAAGATATGGAAGAAAGTTAAGTGGCCATCGATGGATGAATGGATAAAGAAAATGTGGTATATATAAAAAATGCAATATTATTCAGCCATCAAAAAGAATGAGATCTTGTCATCTGTGCCAGTATGGACAGACCTTGAAGGTATTATGTTAGTGAAATAACTCAGACAGAAAAAGACAAATGTTGTATAATCTCATTTATATGTGGAATCTAAACAAAACAAAGAAAACCAAGCTCAAAGATACAGAGAACAGATTGGTGGTTGCCAGAGGTGGGAGGTGGCTAAAATGGATGAAGAGGGTCAAAAGGTATAAATAAGTTATGGGGATGCAACTTACAGCATGGCGATTACAGTTAATAATACCACATTGCATATTTGAAAGCTGCTAAAACACTAAACCTTGAATGTTTTATCACAAGAAAAATATTTTGTAACTATGTGTGGTCACAAATGACAATTAGACTTATTATGGTGATAATTTTGCAATATATACAATCATCAAATCATTATGTTGCATACCTGAAACTAATATAATATTACATATCAATTATACTTCAATTATAAAAAGGCAGGCATTCAGATCAAAATACAAGTAAGAAATTTATAATTACTAGATTAGAAATATATTGATTCCTTGGCATTCCTTGGTAGGTTAATATTTGCAGAAATAAATTATGTTTTAATTGTTCAAAGTTGGGATCCATTAGGTTTTAAATATATTCGACAGCAATTACATATATAAATCCTTGACTAATATTCTTCCAAAATATTAGAAATTCAAGTTTTTTGACTAAGCAGCCAAAAATAAAGATATAGTATTGGGAGAATACAAACCAAATTTTCAAAAAGTGACACATACTTACCCATAGGTCACCCCAGCAATGCTGCATTTCTTGAAGTTCATGATATTGCATGTAAGAGTTCCAGTTTTGTCAGAAAACAGGTATTTTACCTAAATCAAAGAATAAAAGAAACATGTATCAAGACTGTAATAAGAAGCAAAGACCAATAAGTGAACTATTTCTTTCTATATTTTTCAAAATCTGTATTAATTTCCTTAAAGCAAGTAAAAAATATTTTACATGTACACTATATATAACATAATTATGATTTTTATAAAATTAACATATTTTATTGCTTGCGACATTTAAAACTTTTTTAACAACCAATTTTAGAGTCCAATTGTGTGGAAATGTGCAAAGGAATCTTCAGTAGCAGCCCAGGAGCCATGTTAGATCTATAAGCATAAGCAATAAGTCCTGCCACAAGGCATCTCAAAGACATACATCGTTTTTCAAGAGACTCCCATGATCTCACACAGTATCCTGTTCTAGTGCCCAGGATGTCACGACAATAAGCTCAGACTTTGGCAACCCTCAAAATGTTTCTTTTTAAGATTCTATTCCCTAGTTGGATTTAGAAGGCACATCCTGAAACACCACAGTACAAACACGAAGCTTCTCAATCAGGATGGCAATGACGACTGATGACAGCAGCGTGGAGCTGCTACAGATGATGCAATTTCCCAACATATGCAGTCCTGTGGATTTAACACACCAAGCTCTCAGTATACAAAGGTGAAAAGAAATTTCTGGAAGAGATCAACAAGCCAACCATTTTGACATGATTAACTAATGCAAAAACGATGAGCTTGGAATGCAAACATGCTACGTGAATTTTGCTCTCAGGCAGATCACGTGATGGGAAGGACTGAGAGCTCACGACCACAAGAAGAGAAATGGTCCAGTTCAGGCTGTGGATACTAACTAATCATGTAGACTCTGGTAATGTCACCTCATCACTCTTGGCCTTGATTTCCACATCTGTGAAATAAAAGGTTTAGCCAGAAGATACCTAACACTAATGCAATGTTTAACATCCTGGGAAATGATGTCATGGATTGGTGGCTGGGGTGTGATTTACAGAACTCCAGTAAAAATTCCAGTTTCTCAGTGATTTTCTAAAGACAGGCTATGATTGCTACCGGATGCTAAGGTACTCCAGGGACCCCAAAGGGGAAGCACATTTTACTGTTTTATAGACGAGGGTCTTAAAAGATGAATTGTTTACTCTGTACTTTTTCTTAATGATACAATATAAACAAATACACTTCAAATTATTTTAAAGCAATCAAAGGGCTTCAGGTTAAGAAAGATTCTTAGCACTCCTTAAGAAGTCAAAAATTACATAGAAATACAAAGTTAGCACACTATAGGTAATTAATGATTTAACTAGAAGTAATAAGTTTTTATGCAAGTTTAAAATGCAGTAGGTCTACAGATATTTAAAAATTCAGTAGAATCAGCATTCTAATAAGCGGTGTTCTTTCTGCCTCTTTTTAAAAAGTAAAACATTATATAAAAATGTTAAAAATGATAATTTTATACGGAATTATCAAGATTTGCTATCACTCTGCCTTAGTTTTAACTTATCTTTTAAGTTCCACTCAAAACTGCTTCCCCATGCAAACTTTCCCTATCCTCCCAACTAGGATGAATTCTTCCATCCTGGGAGCTTCTCCAGCACTTTGAAGGCTTCAATTGTCAGGGGCCAGTTCAATGGCACTGAGAGCAAGGATACACTGAGCACCGTGCTAAGCTGAGCAAGGCGACCAAAGACCTCGTCTCAGGCATGTTTACACCCTTGAAAGGGCTCAAAAGTCTCAAGAGGGAAACAGATACACTGCATCACTATCATGTCCCTTATTTCACTGTGTTTATGTTTGCAAAGACTATTACGGGAACACAGGAGAGTGATAAATTAACTTCACCTGGAAAATTGGAAAAGTGCTCGAAGAGGAGATGAATTTATTCTGATATGTATATAAATGTGT